AAAATGACGGACTCCTTGAATGAGCAATACAGGAAAGAAATAGATCGCATGAAGCAGAGTCAAAGAGATATAGAGGAAATGAAACTCTCAATCACAAGCTTCCAAAACCGTTTAAGTGAATGTGAAGACAGAGTTTCAGATCTTGAAGATGCTGGTGTAGCAGAGATATCCATACTGGACAATTGAAGGGACACAGTCCACTACTAACCTGGGGCAGAGGGTATGCTTGTGTTTTAGCAGGGAATACTAAAAAACCTATTTGGGTACCAGAGTGTACTGTCAGGCTGTACCATGAAGCCAAAGCTGAAGAAGTTAACAGCAATGAGGCTAGATTCTACCTTGTGCCTATTGAAGGAACTGACAAAATAGAAATCTAAAGGCTAAATAGGTGATAACATATATAAAATAACTAAGCTAAATTTTACTAGTATTAAGACAAAAATATAAAAATACAAAATATGCATATTAATTATAGATAATCCTTCAAAACTTTTCTGATAAGACATCTCTGCTAAATGACAAATAACAAAATCTGGTTAGCCTATTTATAATTATAAATTTCTAAACATTGTAGTAGCATTACTATAATTTAATTTGGCCAGGAATATAATTGAGTGCACTCTTGATTTTGTAAAGATGTTTGTGTGTTCTGTGTATTTGTTTATGTATTTGTGTGTCATTCTCTGAATTGCTGTTAGTCTTTTTTCTGTTTTGATCATTTGTTCATAATACAATTTGGGATATAGACTTAAAAACATGCTTTCTCCTAAGTTTCCAGCTGCTATAAGTGATATCAAAATTGTTTTATACACAGTTCATCAAAATATTTAAGCTAATTAAACAAAAATTCCTTAGAGTGGGAAGAAATTATTAGAGAGCAATCCAATTGATGCATAAAGGGGTGGCCAACTTTGTTCATTAACAAGGAGATCACAGTAATCTCAAGCTTCTTAGGAGACACCCTCAATAATTTGGTCATTGGTTAAAAGATAAGGATTTTCAGAAAACAGTACAATAAGATTTTCTCTTAAAAAATGCTCTTGGGGTCTGGGGATTTGGCTCAGCGGTAGAATGCTTGCATAGCAAGCTGGAAGCCCTGGGTTTGGTCCGCGGCACCAAAAACAAAAACAAAAAAAAAAAAAAAAAAAAAAAAAAAAAAGATGCTCTTGGTATGAAACTAACTTAAGAAACAAACAGTTTCACATGCATGTGATAATACATTATTGTTAAACTCATGGTAAATCAAGTGTATTCCAGGTATACAGGTCTTCAAAAATGTAAAACAAAAATTGTTTATTGTGATAAGACTTTCAGATTCAAACCTCTGCCTTTCACAAAAGACTTATGACATATGTCTCACTTAAGAAAAACTAATTAGGTGAAAAATTCTTATGTATTAGATCAAGATGATTGGTTAAGTGTTATTTCAAGATGAAAATTTAAGTATATCACAAAATGTCAGCAGGATTGTCTTACTACAACATTATATATGGTTTCAATTTTTAAATATCTGTATAAAAATATGTACCTTTTGTCTGTTAACATGCTATAGAGATTTAAATATTAGAATATTCATGGTTGTTAGAAAATAACAGTTCTGGGGGCTGGGGAGATGGCTCAGTGGAATAAGCACTTCCCTGGCAAGCGCAAGGGCCTGAGTTCAATCCCCGGTTCTGCAAAAAAAAAAAGAAAGAAAGAAAGAAAATAACAGTTCTATTTTATGTCTAAGCTGTTTGATATTCAGCTAGATAGTAATGTTAAGAGTTTACTGCCTCTGTTACAGGGTAATGTCATTAAGCTTCTCTTCTGAATGTTTAACAACTGAGGTTTGGAGACCAAAAATTAGAGAGATTGATGGACTAAAAGGATAGCCAATATTTTGGCCCTAGCCTTTCCAGGTCAATGAGGACTCAGGATATATAAGAACCTGTGCTGTAATTTAGTTCTGTCCCTAATTTTCTGATCAAGGTGATTATGAAGCCACAGAGTAAAATGACCAACAATGTATAGTATGACTTTCTCTAATATTCAAACCTCTGCCTTTAACAAAAAAACTTGTGATGTATAACCTAGAGAGAAAAAAAAATCTCTCAGGCTTTCACAGAAAGCAAATTGGTCAAGCAATGGCCTTGACTCATCCAGATGGCTCACAGTGACAAAAGATCTAAGAGGTGCTATACATGGTTCTGAGGTAAATCCTGAGAAGATTAACTGACCTTGTGAGATAGCAAAGTTAAACTGGTATTTATACAGGTCTTGCTTTAACGGAAATTGACAGTGCCCTGCGGGGACAATGCCTGGCTTGGGTCAAGGACTCCTTCACATGAGATTGCCCGCACCTTACCCGTCTTGGAATCACAGGGTGGCAGTAGGCCCTGTTCCTGTCTTAGGCGGTCGGTGGCACTGCATGTGGGTCCTAGCTGCCCGTCATTGACTACTTGTCCATCTCACCAGGGGGCCTACATCAGATTAGGCCACGTTATGATAGGGTCCATTTGAGGGAACCCTCTCACAATACTCTTGTTGATCTGCCATTTCCAACTGATGATAATGTATCTGAATGGGCTTTGCTTGGTCTTAAACATCCAGCAAAAAAGTATAACAACGAGATGTGCAAAGTAATGCCATAATAATATGCTAAGCCATATAAGGCTCAAGTCACTAAGAACTTCTGACACCAACTGTACTGAGAACTCACTACTATGATGGACTATTAGACTGTATAGAGTTACATTGCTGAATTAAAGTACCAAAAACCTTTGAACCGGCATCAAGAATAAAATAGTGTTCTGAAGAGTGCTCCAAACACAGCTTCTCCAACTACAATGGAACACCCATCACTCCACAACAAAACAAAAAATGAGGCTAGGTTGGAAGCCATGGAAGCTGGAAATGGGTAAAATGTGTGAAAGTACAATGAGGCCTCATGCCTAAAAGTAGTCAAGCTACCTCAGTCCTGAGGTAAGCAGCCTGACGGGTTAATGTCAGTTATTGTACACTAGGCAACCTTGGGTCATGTGTTACTTACTTTGCAAAGGTATAAATAAATGCCTGTACTATTGTTCTGGTGGTTATTTTGCCAACCAGGCATATGAGCCCCCACTTCACCCAGCTATTGTCTTCTCTATCTTTTCCTCATTCCTTCCACTGTTTCTCCCTGGGTACAACAGGTCACACTGAAACCACCAGATCCCTACACATATGTTTCTGTAGATGCCCCAGTTCAATTCATTTCTGATTGTGGGGTTAAGAGGCAGCCCCTTCAGAAAGCCGTGCTTAGCAGGAACACTCTGCCCTGCCTCGGTAGCATATTAACAACCTTTCCATCTTTCTCAACACTCTAAATTCTATAGAAATTCTCACTTCAATAGTCCTGTCACAAAGAATATTTTATTTAGCTTATAAATAAGGCATCTAGCTAGAGAAGGTCCTGAGATAGAGTTGAGGAATTAGCCATTTTGATAAGAATTTACATAGGACTTTGGAGTATGAATAAATTTTCCACCCAATAACCAATATAGCTCCCTTCTTACTCAAGAGTCCTAGCCACACCCTACTAAGCTTTGGAGTTTCCAGGAACAAATAAAATACTAAATAACCAGTTTTTCTCTCAGATACTAATTTCTTTAAAACCCTGCACGTTGAGGAAGCAGGTTAGAAATCTTGAGTTCAAAGTGCTCCTTTCAAATCCACAAAACCACCTGTGATAAATGGTTACTAAATAACTAAGCAATTACTGTGCTCTTATTTATAATTAGCTCTAGAGTTAATGGCCTCTAGGCCACTGACGTGGGACATTTGCTGGAAATCAATCAGCTGTTCTTATTTCCAATAAAATCTCTCTCAACACCCTTCTTTTGGTTCGCGACCTCTTTCCTCAATGTCGTGAGACCACGAGCTCGGTTCCTTCACTAACAGCACTGCAGGAGAGGTTTCGCATAAATAATTACAGCGATAGTTTTTCCATTGCTGAGCATGGAACCCAGGGTTTCCCGAAAGCCCCTGTTCTCCTAAAACAGGCAGAGATAGAGTTGTGCCTGGGGCCACCCAAGAAGGCATTCCAGACTGGCAGTGTCACAATGTGGTCAGTATGCTGGGGACGCAGACCTACCCCTGCCCAAGCAAAGGGCACAAGGAATAGATGATGCAGCACCAAAGACTAGGAAGACCTTTTAGGAACTGCAGCTAAGCAGAGGGGCTGTAGGTTACCACAGCTTATTTTGGCCACTTCTTTCCAGACCTCACCCCTAATTCCATCCCAACCCCAGCTCTCAACCCATGATGTCACCATTTTGTGCCTTGAGGGTCTCCGAGGATCCTTCCAAAACAGCCCAGAGCCAATAGAACTTAGAAAATAAAGTGGTCTAGTCAGCTGAGTGCTTTGACCAAGGTTCTCAGGCTCTGCACTTGGGCAGCAGGGCAGAGGAGGTGCCCTACTCCCTCGGCTCACCTGATCAGGTAGTTCAGACAGCCGCGCCTTCATAGCTGATTGGGCACTGCTCCACTGTGGGCCAGGTGAGCTCAGAGAGACAAGAAAAACAAACCTCTTCTTAGCAGTGGTGGAGTTCAAATGATAAATTGTAACCCAGGATTACCTGGACTAGTCCCTCTGGCACGATGTGAATCTCACTTAGCATGAGGAATACCTGCATTTAAGGGCTTTTCTCCTTGGCTATTCAGAGCTGCCCTAGTTTTCTTAATGGACTCAGTGGATGCCTCCTGAAAGAGGATCACAAGTGTACTCACAAGGTTCCAGGGTCAATGTCCTAAGGAAAAGTCAATACCCTGAGGTCAGAAAACATCAAGATCAGGAGCCAGGTAAGGTGGTGCACGCTTGTAATCTCAACATTCTTAAGGCTGCAGCAGGAGGACTGCTGTGAATTCCAGGCCAGCCTGGGCTACAAAGTGAACTGAAGGCCAGCCTGAACTGCATAGTGAGACCCTGTCTTAAAAAAGACAAAACATGGGCTGGTGAGATGGCTCAGTGATCTAAAGCACCTACTTAGAACAAGCTAAGCTAAGCAAAAGCACAGGGACCGCGGTTCAATCCCCAGCACCACATGCCAGCCAGCCCCGCCCCCTGGTGGGCTGAGCTGGCCACACACAAAAAATAAATTAATTAATTAATTTAAAAAAAAAAAAAAAAGACAAAACACTGCTGTGCTGGCCCCGCCCCGGGGTTGTGCTGAAACAGAGTTTGAGACTGGGTGTGGTGGTGCGCACCTGTAATCCCAGTTTAGGAGGCTGTAAACAGGAGGATCACTATGAGTCTGATCTAGGAGTGAGACCCTGAACACCCTGTAGACCCTTTCCTAATATACTACTACTACTAATAATAATAATAATACAGACAAAACAAACAAAAAGAAAAATCATGAGTCCAGGCTAGGCCAGGCCAAACTGTATCAGAAGGAGGTCCTGGGTCCCTCACACAACGTATGTGTATGAAAGATGCTGGAGGAGAGACAGAGACTTGAGACCATTAGACTACTACAAATGTGATGATCACAATTCCATTTATGGGAAAAGTTTAAAACCCAAATCCTGGCATCTTAATACCTATCCTGTAGATAACATTTGAATCCTACAGCTTTATAAGAGCAAATTGTATAACGGAAAACACAAGGCAGAAAACACTAACATCTCCCCAAAGACCACAAATGCTAACCTGAGCAAAGAAGAGGTGGTCATGGGGCTGGTGAGATGGCTCAGTGGTCTAAAGCACCTACTTAGAACAAGCTTAGCAAAGCACAGGGACCGCGGTTCAATCCCCAGCACCACATGCCAGCCAGCCCCGCCCCCTGGTGGGCTGAGCTGGCCACACACACACACACACACACACACACACACACATAAATAAATAAAATTTTTAAAAAAAGACTTTAGAAGAGGTGGTCAGAATTATGTGCTCCCCCCTGCAGAGCGGAGCAGATTTCATTTCCACCTCCCCCAATTGGTACTGGTGTAGCAACGTGAAGTCACACGCTGGTGACCTGCTGGACCCAACAGAACCTGACTGCTGTGGAAAATGAAACTGCACCTGGCACAGAACCGTGCACCGAGCAGAGAAGGATGCTGAGAGGAAAAGAAAAAGGGTCCTACAGTTTTGACTGAGGGAAACTAATGAGGAACATAAAAGGGGATTCTTCAGTAGATACTTTAAAAAAAAATTAGCCCATCATCATCATCATCACTTGTGTGTGTGTGTTGCTGGGGATCAAACACCACACCACGTGCTTCACATGCTAAAATTTGTGCTACCACAGAGCTACTCCCGTAGCCCCAATTTTAGGGGAATTTTTTTTAATTGGGGTCTCCCTGTGTAGTTCAGGGTTGCATGGCCTCAATCACCCACCAACCCTCCTGCCTCAGTCTCCTGAGTGCTGGGATTAGAAGTGTGCACCACCACATCCAGCTTCCAATTTTTTTTAAAGATAGGGTCTCAAGTAATCTAGCCTGGCCTTGAACTCAATGATCCTCCTGCCTCAGCCTCTCAAGCGGTGGAACTACAGACATACATCTCCACTCCTAGCCCTAATTCAATTTTTATATTAGGTTTTCTGTACATTAGAAATATGCAGGGGGCCTGCCCATTAGCTCAGTTGTTTAAGTGCCTGCTTAAAGAAAGCACTCACGCTCAAGATGCTGTGGTTCGAACCCAGATACTCACCCAAAACCAGAAATGCCCTCAAGGCATCTCCAGGCCACCAAAAGAAAAAAAAGAAATATGCAGTTAAATTGAAACTCAATTTAGTAGTAATTGTGAACTCAATGATTTCCTCAGCCATAAAAGAGAACTCCAGACAAAAATTCCAGGGGATAATTATTAAAACATGCAAATGTGAAACAATTAAAAATAAGACTTTATTCTTGTTACATATAAGCCAACATGTATACTGCATCAGAAAATTCTTGATTTTGCCTCTCACAAAATCCCAAGTTTACTACAATTAGTTTTACGAGTTTTCTAGAAACATAATGGAGAAAAATACTTAACTGACCTAAAGGAAATAATCTGATTTTTGAAGGGTTAAATTCTGAAAACATAACTGGTTCTATTTTAACACTTCAGAGAAAGATCAATTCCTGAGCTAAACTGAAACGGAGGGCTGGGAGTAGTGCACTGCTCAGTGACAGAACTCTGGCCTCTATTCTCCAAGCCCTACATTCAAAGCCCAAGGCCTCCAACCCCACTCCACCCCCAAAAGGAGAGAGCCATGTTGAAATGACGTGTGAGAGAAAGGAAGGCGCCATTGAATGAACCTCTTCCATCCTAAACATGTTTACAATACATAGTCCAGTTGCTGTGGTGACTCATGGCCCAACTTTTTCAGACAGTAACTAAGACCTAAAAAATGAAGTCTCCAAATTCTTCAACATGCTGTTTAAATAAAACCAAATTATAAAATGTATCAAGACTAATTTACCAACTAATCAGTCATTGTTATCAAATAATAATTATATATAACTAACTGCTCTACAATATTAAAGAAAATATTAAATGTGGAAAAAAAAAAACAGAAGGAGGTCCTGCAGTTGGAAATGAGGCAATTTTCACTTTCACTGTCAAGATCTTCACAGTCTTTCAATATGTTCATTGTGTTAAAACAAAATGGTCCCCAACAGGAATACAATATTGTGTAAATGAAGAAGTTAGAATTAAATAATGGAAATATTCTGTAAAAAAAAAAAAGGTTTTTTTAATTAAAGATGAAAGAAAAGTGAACATTCCAGCTCACACTGACAAGCTTCATATTTTATGCAGGGTCATAAAAATTACCTGGATTTTGAAGATAAATTTATTTGCAGGTGTGAAGCCCAGAAGGATTTCTGAAACAGTGTCCCATATAACCAACTTGATCACTTCCTGGAGCTGAGGCTGAGATGCCAAACGAGCTTACTGAGACCTACATCAGGCTGTACGCTCCTCCTTCGGTGATGGCCCCTCACAGGTTGAAATTCTCCACCTTTCTGTTTTAATCTTCCTAGAAGGGAAATACAGTGTGGACTCACGCAAGACACTCTTGTTAATAGCTTGTCTGGCTGGAGAGCTGCACAGGACGCCAGTGAAGCCCATTTCTAGGCTGAGTCAGGACTGCGGGCCCTGGGAAGCAACGCTGGGCCCTGTCCCTGGGGAGCAAAGCTGGGCCCTGGCCCTGCCCCTCGGGCTTCTTCCCTTCTCTCTGGTTCCAGCTCTCATGAACTAGTTTTCTTTTTTCTTCATTTCCCTTTCATGGTTGTGCATTGGACACAATCAAACCAACACTGCAATCGCTGAACTACTGAGACAAAATAAGGCTTCTCAGCGCCTGCTTAGGCAGAGCCCAGGGGCCGGGGTTTGATCCCCTGCACGCTGTGCTGGCCTCGCCCCCAGGGGCGCCGAGATGGCGACTGAGGCTGCGCGCCTGTAATCCCAGCTCTTGGGAGGCTGAACACATGCGGATAACTATGAATCCAATCTACGCTAGTGAGACGCTGTAGACCCTACACTAAATATAATAATTATTATTATTATTAAAAATAATTATTATTTTTTTTAACTAAAGCTTTTCTTCTCAAATTCTAAGTCAGGTACTTGTCTCTGTAACAACAAAATACAATTCATGTTAGGTATCTGTTCTAAACAAACTTCCCCACACCTTAATTCTTTCTTCAGAAAACTCTTGTCAGTTTTTCTCTGTGAATACTCTAAACAGACTCCCTTCATGTGCACACATTTCATTCTGACCCCAATAAAATAATATCAATCCTAATATTCAAATTAATAAACATTTATTTCCTATGCCATAGTTCAAAGGAAAAAACCAAGTTTAAAAAAGAAAAACAGGCAAATTCAGCAGTTATTTTGAGTAAGGACAAGAAAAGGTTCCCCACCTGGCAGTCCTCAGTCAGAGCAGGTTGACTCAGGGTGTGCAATGGGGTGTGGCAGCAGTTGTGAGGTAAACTGAGGCACAAACACAGCATCTAACACACTGTGCACCTGGCCAGCACAGCTGCTGTAATTAGCTAAGACTCAGAATTAGGCCTAAACTAGGTTTTCATTTACTTTAAATACGAAATTAGAACAGTTTGTTCCCAAAGTATCAAGTGTAAGGTCAGCCTCACTCCTAAATTCAATTTAACCTCGCCAGCAGAATTTAGGAGTGAGTCACACCTTTGATTTATACAACTTTAGATATAATACAAATTCATACGGCCCAATACTTTGTGATTTTGAATCAAAGCAAAACGAAACTGTAGGAATGTGGGCCTTTCCTTCTAGCCGACCTGGTCAGAGCACCCACGTTACAAGGGATCAGGATCCTGTCCAGGGCCAGAACCTCAGAGT